ATCCTTGTATGAATGTGCATCTTTTGGGTATATGCCTAAGAGTGGAATTGCTGGGTCTTGTGGTAGACTGATTCCCATTTTCCTGAAGAACTGCCATACTGATTTTCAAAGTGGCTGTACAAGTTTGCACTTCTATCAGCAGTAGAGGAGACTCATCTTAATATAGTCAAAACATAATGTCGGTGGTATAGTAAATACTATACCATGTTCAAGGCTCTAGGTTCAACCTCCAATACTATAAGAATAAACAAATAGATAAAAAACATAAACAAAAACTGTATGTCTGAAGCATAAGCCTTTAAATAGGCATGATGTAAAACAAGCAAAGTAGAAATTATGGAACAAAAAACACAAGTATGTTCTAAAGAAAAAACTAGCATGGTAATGCATACCTTGTAACTCCAGTACTGACAGATCTCTGCCAGTTGAGCTTGCTGGCCAATAAACCAAAGTCAGCAGGCTGCAAGTCTCAGTGAAAGTCCTGACTCAAAAAATGAGCTGCTGTTTCCTGAAGAACGCCATCTGAAGTTGACCACTAACTTCCAAACATATGCATGCATGTGAATCCATACATGTATGTGATCACATACATGCCAAAAATAATTCTTCCCAGCACTTGGGAGGCAGAGGCAGGCGGATCTCTGTGAGTTCGAGGCTAGCCTGGTCTACAAAGTGAGTTCCAGGACAGCCTCCAAAGCCACAGAGAAACCGTGTCTCGAAAAACCAAAAAACAATAATAATAATTCTTAAAGGACACAATGTCTAATAATTACATAAAATTCTAATTAAGTGCCCCATCACCAGAGAAAATGTATGCTGAGTGCCCAAAAACACTACTAGATAACCATTCAAACTGTTATACAGCAGTCAAACATTAAGTGGATAGTTGCATAGGCTTATATTTAACCATGATAACATTACTAAACTCTGACTCCTATGACCAGTAGAGCCCCTGAGGACATCATGCATCCAGACCAATGAGTGGTAAAGGACTGCAATGGTTGAAATGCTGACCATGAGTGAGACATGGGACTTCTCACTAGGTGTGAATAATAACTGATATGATCAGGAAAGTTCTCATATCTGGACTGCCCACGTTATTCAGGGTTTCTTGTGTGTAACATCTAAAAGAGAGAGAAATGATCTCTCAGGCAACTATTATACAAGAATCCTAGGTTTCTCCAGAACAACTCATGTCACATGCTCATTTCCAGATAATCTGGCCCAAGGCACAACAATGGAATTGTTTATTTTAGACCTATGCCTGTTCTGTGCTTCTATCACAGAGTATGGTAGAATAAACATTTTTTTAACAACAAAAATTTCACTGGCTCAGAGTCCCCTAAGTTGATAAGTCTAAAATCAAAGGACCAGCAACTGATGAGGGTCCTCTTGCTGTACCATCCCCTGTTGGAAGGGAGAAGTCAGATAACCACAGGATGGAAACATAAGGATGAAAGAATCATACTATACCCAAATACATGCTTCGCCCCTTCAGTCTCAGCACTCAGGAAACAGAAGCAGATGTACTTTGTGAGTTTAAAGCCAGCCTGGTATACATATTAAGTTCTAGGTCAGCCAGGGCTCCACGATGAGTCTCCCTCTCCCTTTCCCCTTCCCCCTCCTCCTCCCTCTCCCTCTCCCTCTTTCTCTCTCAATATCTGATCACCCATACAGCTTCACTGTACAGTGGGGAGTAAATTTTATTTGCAGAGTAGAAAATTCATCCAAAATAAAGCATTTCAAACAATTCTAATGTTCAGACACTTCTACATCATACTAACTCAGTGAATCTTCATCTGTTGATATCAACTTAATTTTATCTGTACTTTCTGCATCACTAAGAAGTCCCCAGGGGCTGGGAGGAAATTCTGAGTGCTTCTTTGTGGTTGTTGCTAGGAAACAACATCCTTGGTATCGGAGTACTCAGACTGAAACGCTGTGTGAAGTCACTGGTTCATAAAAGAAAACCTTTGGTAAATAGATTGTTTAGGTGTGAGTAAATTGATGTTCTCTCTCTGTGGCAAAATGTTCTTGTGTAACCTTTGAATAATAGTGTACTTCTAGGCCTCCATTCTTTGCTTGGATCCAGCTGCCATTATTGCTCCCATGAGAACTCCAGCATCTATATAAATTGGAGTGAGCATTCTCTTTTTCTCCCAAATCATCTGTAATTATCTCAGTGCCTAGAGCACTGTGAGTAATGAGTTTTAGTTAAACAAAGTGAAATGAGCTTGGAAATAAAGACCCAGACCACTGACTGTCTGCATAAGTTGTTGAATACTATAGTCCCTCCTCATCCCCAGGGAGATGTTTCTAGATGTTCAGAGATAGGTGCCCAAAGCATGACATACGCCAATCCCACATACACTATGCTTTTCCTTTATGTACATATCTAGAACATAAATTAGGCAAAATAAAAAATAAATAACAACCACAATGAAACAGAAATAATAGTAAGTGGAACATCCATGATGACATCTGTAACAAATTTTAGGCGGGCTTGTGTGGATACAGTCTCACTATCAAGGGTTACTGGAGTGTGACCACTGCAGTACTGAGACAGTTGATTGGACAACTGACATGACTACTACGTGGCAAATGAGTGGGAAGCATACACAGATCAGCAAGGATGAGCTGGACAAAGAGGCCTCTCATGTCGTAGGTGGGTTAGAGCAGGAGAGCACAGTATTTCATAGGACAATTAAGAATGATGTATGGTTCAAGCTCATGGTATGTTTATGTTTAGAATTTTCCATTTAATATAACTGGGCCACCTAGACTGTGGGAATAGAAATTTTACATAAGAGAGAACTATCATGAATATTAAAATCTGCTTTGGCTGGTTGTCGCATTCCAGTTTTATTTAGAGTTATGCTGTTGCCCAGAAGTAGGAGCTAACAGGGCTGCCAGTTTGGCTCACCTACACCCCTCTCTCTTAACTCAAACTACAAACTGTCTGTGACTCCCACAACTGAACTTCTGCTAGAATTCTGCCCCCACCCTAGATTCTGAAAACTGAAGCAGCAGCTGGAGATTGAAATCTATCACCTTGTTAATGTAGCACGCCTAGAGCAAGACAGAAGCTTTTCATTCCTGGATGTAGAGAATATACATCTGTGTGTTTATCTATCCATCTTTCTTTCTGCATTATCTGTCTGTATGTCTGCCTATCCATCACCTATCTATTCATCTATCCATCACCTATCATCCATTCATGCATCACCCATCAATCCACTTATCAATCCATCCATCACATATCTATCCCTCCATCTATCCATCACCCATATACCCATTCATCATACATCTATCTGTGTCTCCATCCATCCATCACTCATCTATTTATATACCCATCTACCCATCACCAAACAATCTACTTCTGTATCTCCTGTAGAGCTGTTCATGAATTCTTACCAGATATGCCAATGTTAAGCATCAGTGTTACATATTCATACCCAAGTTTGACATAAATCTCCAATGCATCAATTAGTCCAAGGTAGATTGTATTAAGTCTAAAAAGTCAAGAGGATCTTGCAGCCTCTCAGAAACAATGTTTATGCACAACAGTAAATACCTTTTATTTCCATGTCTATATTTAGGTCATTATAGATGGATTCTTTCATATGAATATTACTTTTTGGAGAGAAGGCAAGTTCTTTAATCTAATCGGTGATGGTTTAATGAGAAATTAAATGTATGATATTATGTTCCTATAAATGGTAGTTTTATAGGGAGTCAAGTATAAACCAGCTATTGTTCAATAAATTCAGGAATGAGAATTTAAAATTTTTTGAAGAGGAACTTTAATTATTTTAAGAAGTAAAATTGAGATAGTTTTTTTTAGACATACATACCAAAAAAGGGGGGATAAGAAGAATGACTAAAATTTATTTCACTCTTGAAGTGGTAAATTCATGCAATTCTTTGACACTTTTACTCAGCTTCCAAATTTTAAACTTATAAAAAAATCTTGGAAAGATGTTGCTGCTGTAGTCAAAAGTAGGCCAGCATAATGCATACTACAAAGAGCTCGTAGGGTTACCTTTGAAATATGTCAGTAACTCTACTTTAAAAAAAAAAGATGTGTCTTTATTTGAGTTGAATGCAAAAAGAAATGGAAAAATCAAATGTGTGTTTAACTGGTTAAAATGGATTTTAAATGAGCTGAATTATTTCAAGACTTTTAAAAACATACCCATGCATTATTATACAATTTACTCTTATACACCACCATGACGCAACCAGGCCACTGACAAATAGGGACAGACCAGAGGAAGAAAACAGGCCATGAACATAGGACCTTCCATGCCAAAGCCAGGGGCACACTTTCAACTGTCTTTAATCTTCCCCAGGTTCCTTGACATTAAAGCCCACCCTCAGAGATCCAAAGAGATCAATAATTCATAAAGTACCTAGTATAATCAAGAATGTATGTAATTCCTAAGATTTTACCTATATGTTACCTATAATAATACTAGCTACAATGGAAGGATATAAGCCTGGTTACTCTTTTAAATGAAATGTGTGTTTATTTTTAAATGCCTTGATCATTTATTCAAGGTTTGATAATTCACTATATTCTCATTACCCCATAAGCTCCACTTTTAATAACTATACTTAACATTTAATTCCATTTTTGTTCTTAGATAATGCATAATCCAAATCCATTTCCAGAGCCCTGGAGTGCAAACACCCCTTGCTTTAATAAAAGAGTGCCCATCCATAGATACAATAAAGACAAATTTGTAGCAGTAATACAAGGTAATAAAAGTTCAGGGAGCTTATGCTCACTAAGCCAGATGAGTCTCTTTCCTCACCACAGCCACCCCTAATCCATCAGAAATAGCATTCTATGTAGGAGCTATCTGCTATTCAAATTCAAAATGATACTCTTTGTCCCAGTGCACTACGAATATTCCCTCTGGCTGGAAGATGGTCTTCAGAATGCATCTCTAAATTAACTGTGCTCTGTGTGACCAAGCTGTGTTTCTTCACTTCAGATGGCTATACCACTGACGACATCGAGTTTTACTGGAATGGAGGAGAGGGAGCAGTAACTGGGGTCAATAAAATCGAGCTTCCTCAGTTTTCAATTGTTGACTACAAGATGGTGTCCAAGAAGGTGGAATTCACAACAGGTGAAGATGTTTCTTCCCTGATAATCCATGCATGGATGAAAGGGAGGTGGTAATTCTAATCAAATGATGATCTTTCTTTCTTCCCTCCTGCCCTCCCTCCCTCCCTTTCTTCTTCCCTCTCTCCCTCTTTCCTTCCTCCCTCCCTTCCTTCCTTTTTTCTTTTTTAAACCCAGGGGCATATCCACGTCTATCACTAAGTTTTCGTCTAAAGAGAAACATCGGCTACTTCATTTTGCAAACCTACATGCCTTCCACGCTGATTACAATTCTGTCCTGGGTGTCATTTTGGATCAACTATGATGCATCTGCAGCCAGAGTCGCACTAGGTAATGCATTTTATAGTTAGTAGAGCAGACCTTCAAACAAAGAGGCAATGCTAGGGATCAAATGCAGAACCTTCATATAGCAAGTGAAAGAACTAGACTGCAATAGGATGCTTCAAAATAAAGATATCCTGACAAGGGTTAGCTCTTGAATCCCAGGCTGATGCCTGGGAATCCAGCATGGGACTGATCAAGACCCCCTGAATGTGGGTGTCAGTGAGGAGGCCTAGGTAATCTATTGAGCCTTGGGTAGTAGATCAGTATTTATCCTGGGTATACAAATGGACTTTGGACTCCTATCCAACAATGAGAGATGCACCCTCACCCTGGACTCTTGGGGGAGGGTCTAGGCCCTGCCCTGGATGAAATGACAGACTATAGACACCCCCATGGAGGGCCTCACCCTCCCTGGGGAAATGAGGGGATATTGAGGGGGTTGATGGGAGGGTGTGGGAGGAGAGGAGGGAAAGGGAGAGGGACCTGGAATTGACATATGAAGCAACCTTGTTTCTAATTTAAATTTAAAAATAAAAATATATATAAAATAAATAAATAAATAAAAATATCCAAGATGAATTATAAGAGTGTTTATAATGAGTGCAATATCTTTTAGGATTTGCAAAAATTTGAGGATATTCTTCCCATTGAATGAGTGTGGATTGCATGTTAGAATCTTATTACACTGTAATTTTTTTAACCAAATGTCGCTAGCCTTCTCTTTGTTCCCTGCTTTTGACTGTTAAAACACTGGTAACTCATTATTTTAAAATAAACATGGAGAAAACTTACCTTTTGAGTGTCAGCAAGCTGTATCAATTGTTGGGAAATAGTATCCTTTGATTAACTGAAGTTAAAACATACAAATCCTAGTCTTTGCCTTAAATATAACTCATTATGTTCAATAAGGCACAAACAATTCACCAGCTATATTAATGATCTGTGATTGAGTCAGAATAAAAAATGGTTTCTTGTTCAGTGGAACAAAATTCAGAATTAATTTTACCATGATTGAGTAATTGTTGAAAACTGGAAAGCTATATTGAGATTGTAAATTTTTTGGAAAGTTAGGGTATGTAAAATGTGTCTGATGATCTCAAGTAGCCATGTGCAGGTATACCTCGTTATTTAATACTCAGACCCATTTTAGATATCATTCCAGTTTCGGGGAGACAGGGAAAAGGGGGAAATGTCACTTCTGGCTAAGATAACATATCATACCTCTTCTCTCAGTTGCTAAGCTGGATTAACTGATGAGTATATCGTTTCACACAAAGACTAATTGGCATGTTTCCAACCCTCTTCTATTGCCTGAGTACATAAGACTTGCAAAGTCAAGTGCTTGCAGCCTCTAACTAACCTTAAGATGTCCTATGTATAAAGAAAAAGAACAAATAGTTTTACATGTTATATATGCATCTCCAACATACTGGTTTAATAGGAACACAGCCATGTGCATATGCTAGGGTTAAAGAAAACCCTGAATGATATCCAATCTACACAAGGGAAAAAATTCAAAAATATATGTATTCTCATTGTCTATACATGCCTATTCTCAAAGCAAATGACATTTTCATTAAAGATATTAGAGAAACAGGAGAGATAGCTTAGCAGTTAAGAGCTTGTACTGCTCTCTTAGAGAGCACCCATGTGGGGTGGCTCACAAACACCTGTAGCTCCAACTCTAGGGGATCTTATGCCCTCTTCTGGCCTTCTTTGGTACTTGCACTCACAGGCACACAGTCTTACAAAAGCACATAATTTTATAAAGCCAAATATATATAAAGATGTTAATATATAATTATGTTTTGATCCTTAAAATATTAACTAAGGTATTTTAACATACAAAAATTTTAAAACATTTATTTACTATTTTCTAATTTAAAACAAAACTAAAAATGTAAATTTAGTGACTATATAAAAAGAATATTCCTATATTCTATGAAATTTAAAGTTTTATTCAAAGAAACAAGTAAGATCACTTATGATGGAGTTCTTATCAATCCAAGACATTTAAATTAATCATTGATCTGTACTCATTTTACTTCTTTAAATAATATTTGTATTTATTCTTTGAAAAATCATACATCTGTACAGTGTATTTTGATCACATCCCACCACTACTTTCCTCTAACTCTCCCCAGGAACCTCCAACCCACAGCCCTTCTGACTTTATATTTATTGTTGCTGTTATTAGTAGTAGTAGTATTGATAAGAAAATATAATTATATGCTCAATGGAATATAATTCAGCTGTAAAGAAAAATTAAGTCATTAAAATTGCAGGTAGATGGATGAAAATGGGAAAAAATTGTACCCTACCTTTCCATGGTACTCCTGAGGAGCTGTATCAGGAAGTCTGCAGTTTAGCATTATCCCTTGCCAGATGATAGCAGCCCCCTTTTTCCTTCTTCCTCCCTCTCATTCCCCCACACCACTCTCTTCTCATCCTCTTCACAAAGCCTGTCTTTGTTTAATAACTCTCATCTTATTTCAGATATTACCATCAAGTCCCTTGCTTTATTTTAAAATTTTAAATACATAGCTTATAGCTGGGTGAACTACATGAAGATAATTCATCTGAGAATTTTATTTGGTTGGTTGGTTTTGGTTTTTTGAGACACGGCCTCATGTTGCACAAACTATCCACCACCATACTAAGCAATATAGCTCATTTCCCCTATCATATTCAGTGGGCTGTTGTGATATACTAGACAAATGTGAAATCCTGATATTAGGAGTTGCAGTACTGTTTACACAAAATCTAGTTTCTTTTCGTGTTTCTTATTTTCCCCCGATCATTATTCCATTATTACCATTATCAACACAGTATAATCAGTACGCTGTCAAACAAGATACACACTATTAACACCGTTGAGACTTAACAAGGCAGACAAAACATAACCTGTGCTACATTTGTAGGCATCAAGTTTTTTCATCCAATCTAAAAGCTGATATTTTTAATCAACCTTTTTCTAGCATTACGAGATGAATTTGTTACAGGCTCTGGAACCAATGAAACAGAGGTAATATTTCAAAAACCAAAGCAACAAGATTTTATTGTATTAGAGAATTCTTGATGCAAATCACAAAATACCTTAAATGTCTTTCTTCTCTTGGCAATCACGCCTGAGAGACAAATGACTTGAAAATGTGAAATGAAATTGTGAGGTATGTTATATGCTCATGAGATTAAGTTAGTCACCCCAAAAGTGGTCCCCGACTTAGACTTAGATCTGGCGGTGACTACTGTGGATTCACAGGGACTGATTCCAGGGGGAATGACTGACATGTGGAGAAAAAGGAAAGAAAGGATGTAGCTAAGGATGGGTGTAGCTACATAACAGATACATTTGACAGTGGGATTCCAAGGGAACTTTTTAAAATTTCAGGTGTGTGTGTGAAAATTCTAACGTGTGTGCGCATGTGTACGTGTTTTAAATTTCATGTATGTGTGTGTGCTGTGCATGTATAACTCAATGCGTACATGAAAGTCAGACAATAACTTCCCAAGTTGGTTGTCACATTCCACCTTATTTTTGACAGTGGAATTTGTTCTGCTTTTTCACCGCTTTCTTCCTTATATTTGTGTGCTTATTTTTAAAATGTCACTAGCCCTCCATTATCTCTGTGCTCTATGTCATGTCTTAGTAACAGAATCTAGGGGAAACCCTGCCATTTTGTCTTTAGATATATATGTACTTTAGTGGCTTAGCATGCCACTTCCGTCAACGCAGCACATTAAGGGATGGCATTTTTCTTCTTGCCCTTGGAAAACACGACATCACAGAGGTGCCTTCAGCTAAGCTTCAGTCTTCTGTTCGCAGGAATTACCACGGTGCTGACCATGACAACCATTAGCACTCATCTCAGGGAGACTCTGCCAAAGATTCCTTACGTCAAAGCGATTGACATCTATCTGATGGGCTGCTTTGTGTTTGTGTTCCTGGCTCTGCTGGAATATGCTTTTGTAAATTACATTTTCTTTGGAAAAGGCCCTCAGAAGAAGGGAGCAAGCAAACAAGACCAGAGTGCCAATGAAAAGAATAAGCTGGAGATGAACAAAGTCCAGGTAATGTGTTATATATTACTAATGTTATCTCTATTATTTTCATTAATGATGAGGTGCCCAGGATGTTTTTTAGCAGGAAAACATAGTTTTGAAGAGTTGTTTGTTGTTATTAAGGACAAACCAGCTCCTCAATTTACAGATTTGAGAATAGTGGTTTAAAGAAATTACACTGAAAACTACATAAATTGTCAAAAGCGTATGTATCAGTTGTGCATGATTGTAATAAAATAGCTGAAGCAGAATGATTTCACTTTTTTAAAAGCAGTTGTTTAACACACAGTGTTGGAGGCTGAAAGTTTAAATAGTATAATATAACCTCTACCACTATGGTTGGTGGTAAGTTACATGTAGGACAAAGTGATTATGTCACAAAGCAGAAAGCCAGACAAAAATTTGGGGCTTTCAAAGCCCCTTCCAAGGACAGCTATCCCCCACTCACTAGGATGTAACTCTCAATGATCTACCTTCCAACACTGTCACACTGAGAATGGAGTTTCCAACACATGAAAAATTGGGGGATACACTTAACCTAAACCTGAACTGTAATGAATACCTATGACTAAGATCAGCCTCAAGTCCATCATGATTTATTCTAAGCTATTTGTAAAATCACACATGAAAGAATAATGTCAATTCTGCTTGGTAAACAAGTGGAGAACAGTGAACAGACTTAGTTTCTGACCCTCAGTGGAGCTGAACTCATCCATGAAAGCAGCTGGATGGGGAATTTACAAGCACTTCTTATAGAAAAAAAAGAACAAACATAATGCCAAAATTAAAAATCAAAGTGCTTTAAGTGAAGGCAGAGTAGTTTGTATCAAACTCTCCAATAGACAGAAGTTATGAAAACGGCTAATTTTTAATACTGTTTAAAGACATGAGTGACTGAAAACAAGCAAAAGATAGAAAAGAACCAGCCCTCAAAAGAATTGTGAGTTGTACTAGGCCATTAGGCACACGGTTTTCCCCAGCAGCACTTCAGTGGAAAACTGCAGTTTTGCTGGCTGAGTGAGGCAAAGCATGGATGGTGGTACCTGAATTTTCAGAAAGAAGTAGCCAATAGCAGATGCTGAGTATCAGCTTCATTTCAATGTGCAGGTAAGAGCCCAAGAAGCCAAGATGGCAGATTCTTGGTTAGTCCAAAGTGTCAACTAGACAGGGCGTGATCTCACCTAGGAGACAAGCCTCCAGGTACTCTTGAGAGGGATTACTTAGTTTGAGTTATCTGGGTGAGCCTATGAGGGATTATCTCAGCTAAATCAATTGAGATTGGGTTAGAGGAAGACCTATCCTAAAGAGTTCAGCACCATTCTCTGGGTTTATGTCCTGGATCGCATACAAAGAAGCAGCTAGCTGAGAAGAGAGTGTCCGTTGCTTTCTGATTACTGACTGTGGATAAAATGTGGCCAGACCCCTCAAGCATCTATCTCAGAGATTTATTTACCATAATGGACAATACTCTTAAATAGTGAGGCTAAGTTAGTCCTTTCTACCTTAAGTTGCTTTTGTGGGTAATTTCTTCACAGCAGCAGAAAAGGTGGCTAAGGCAACCTCAAAGGGAAATACAGCTACAGACTACAAATGAAATGGAAAAAAACTGAACTTAGAGTTTGTTTTTAGCCCACTTATGTAATTTCATTAAATCTCCAAAATCATCATAATTTAGGAACAAAGTTTAAGTCATAAGAATAAGGAAAAACCCTGAAGTAGACTGTCTTAGTTATGGTTTCTATTGCGTGAAGAGACACCATGACCACTGCAACTCTTATAAAGGAAAACCTGTAATGGGGTGGCTCACTTACAGTACAGAGGTTTAGCCCATTATCATCGTGATGGGAAACAAGGTGGGCATGCAGGCACACAGGGTGATGGAGGTGAGAGTCCTTACATCTTGACTCAAAGGCAACAGGAAGTGGTCTGTCTCACTGGGTGTGGCTTGAGCAAATATGAGACCTTAAAGTCTGTCTCCAAAGTAACTTACTTCCTACAACAAGACTACACCTACTCCAACAAGGTCACACCTCCTAATAGTGATACTCCTTGGGGGGGGGCATTTTCTTTCAAACCACCACATAGACCCACTCTAACAATACACAAAACCACCTATTCTAGGTAATATGCTAGTGATTAAAGAGCCTAAGAAAACAAACCCCAAAATTCTTCAGGGATGATAAAACAACCCAGAGATTCTATAATATAGCATTGCAAACATCTAGAACACAGTAAAACATTAACATACCTGAACAGAAACAGGAAAATGATATCATGATCAAAAGCAATATGACTTCAAGAATCTTAAGTATTGACCTGGAAAATAAGCACTATATCATAACTGTAATTAATACATTTTAAAGTCAATAGGAAATGGAAGTACCAGCCTAGAACTGAAAGCATCCAACATATTCTGAAATAGATGATTAGACAAGCTGTAGTACATTCAAACCATAGAAAACTGTTCTCATTGGGGTCTCTATTGCTGGGATAAAACACCATGACCAAAAGCAACTTGGGGAGAAAAGGGCTCATTTCAGCTTGCATGTCCCAATTGAAACCATGAAATAGAATGGATATAAGTCACAGGCTTGAACATGCCCTTCAATGGACTGGTAGTACATTCTGTGGAATAGAAGGGATTAGTCCCAGTTCCTTTATTCATGTTCTTACTGTGGACACTGCTGTTTGGAGATGCCTACACTGGAACCATGACTCTCTGCTTGTATTTACTTCCTCCTCACTGTTCCCATGCACTCCTAACCCTCTATTGTGGAACGGCTGTAATAGCATGTGTTCATATAGCTATTCTTTAGCATTTTTCTCTGGTTAGACTGTGGTTTACAGTCTATTGTATTTACTATTCTTTCCTTGATAGCTACAATGGGGTAGAAACCAAGTGTTTCTTAAGTAAATGAATGAATATCAGTTAGGACTTCTCCATTATGAGTTTTCAGAACTTATTCAAATTATTGAGTAATACACCATAATGCTTTCTAAATTCTTGCATCTTCATATGAAATGAGAAAAGGAGACAAGAGCGCACTTACTTTAGCTTCTGCCCAAGGCTGCCTTACTGTTTCTATTTTTTCATTTACTTGTGTGTGTGTGTGTGTGTGTGTGTGTGTGTGTGTGTGTCTGTGTGTCTGTGTGTGTGTTGGGGATTGAACTCAAGGCTTCTTGCATACTAGGCAATGAACTCTCAGAATAACAATGTTTTTATTGTGCATGCTTATATGAACCTCTAGTATTCTTTTCAAATTATCATGCCATATACTGTTAGAAATAACTTTCAAGGGTGATTAGGCTAAGACTTTACTGAATTTTTCATACATAGATGGAATAATAATTGCACAGTGTCCTAGCTAGGATTACTCTTGCTGCGGTGAAATATCACTACCTAAAGCAACTTGGGGAGGAGAGGATTTATTCAGCTTGAACAGCACTGTTCAACATCAAAGTAAGTCAGGACAGGAACCTGGAGTCAGGAGCTGATCCAAAGGTCATGGGTGGGTGCTGTTTACTGGTTTGCTCCCCCTAGCTTCTCAGCCTGCTTTCTTATAGAACCCAGGAATACCTGCCCAGAGATGGCCCCACCCACAATGGGCTGTTCCATTAATCACTAATCAAGAAAAATACCTTACAGGCTTGCTCACAGTCTGATTTCTATGAAGATGGTTTTTAAATTGAAGTTTCCTCCACTCAGATGACTTTAGCTTGTGTCAGGTTGACATAAAACTATCTAGCACATGCAATGTCACCATTTCATGCAACAAAAAATGATCCTCAAATGCTTGGGTTTGGCAAATCCCAACCTCATCTTCTTAGCTGGGGACTCAGAGAGGCAATGTGTTCATAAGAAATGTGATCTGCTCAGCTTATCATCCCCAGAAGTTAAAGAGTGTCAACTGTGCTATTTCAAAAACTGCAATGCTGTGGTTAAATGCAAATCTGTAGAAATTATTATGTTTCCCTTAATATGATAGCTGGATGATCTTCTTTCCTGTGGGATGCTTTTAAAAAGTTAAACGTAATTGATATGTGTCCAGTCTCCCAGAGTTTTCATTTGGGAGAGCTCTAGGATTTGTCTTGGTATCCTGGAGTGTGGAGTGACATTGTTCATTATTACGCATCGTTTTTGATGGCCGCAGCTGGGCAGTTAGGGCAAGGGATATCCAGACTGATACCTCCAAAGTGCAGGCCCTGTACTGATTTATACTTCCACCAGCTGCACTTTTTATATGAGTGCAGATGCTGAATCCAGACATTATGAGAGTTTCAATCTCCAAGGCGATAAAGACTGTAGATTCATGAATCCCTCGAGCACCATTGAAAACTAGGGATGGTATTTAGACTTTTGAAAGACAGATTTCACAGCATAACAAGACTTTGAGCAAGCTGCCTCTGGGATACTTTTAAACTAACCTGAAACTTTTTTTAGTTGTATATACTGGCTACAGTGTCTGCTGTGTGCAAATGGATGAATTGGATGTAGGGGTGGTCTGTGACTTGAGACTACCAAACACTGGGAGAATCTATGAAAGATTCATGACAAATGTGCAATTGCAACCACAAAGATTAAGATGGAGAACTTTCCTTTCTGTAACTAGATACCAGTTCTATGATCAGCCTCTTCTTCCCGATTTCTGTTCTTTGTGATAAATCATCCAAACACTTCCAGACAACTTTCTGCATGTGAAGTAATCTGTGCTCTGTGTTGGTCTCCAAAATGCAGGTGAAGATGAGTATTTCAAAGATAAGAAGTCCCATGCTTACATCACAACATGCCTGCTGGCCTTGGAACCTGGCTCTCAGCACTCCTCAGCAGCACTTCCCTTCAGGGTGCCTGGCACATAGGTCCTGTTTGATGAAACTGACTGTCTTGATTTGGCAACTTGAACTTTAAACTTCATACTTTTTCCCAAATCTAGCATGGATCATTTTTTTTATTCCTAAACATGTTTAAACCTATCACATCTCCAGAATTCTTGGGAGTTTAACTATCCTAG